ATAGGTGGTCAGATAGGTCTTGATAAATAAAGTTATAATTTTAGTGACGTAGAAAACAATAAATATTAAAGCACCTATTGATATGAAATAAAGTTGAAGACAGGCCTGCAGTTGACAATTTTCTCCATTATCAGATCACTATCTAGAAGCTCATTTGTTTTGAAGAATGCAATCCACCTATTTGACGATTCACCAAACTCAGACAGATCCATTTGCTCGTTCGTAATTGTAGTACACAAGTGTTGGAAAACAGTTACGGATGGACGTATGGAGGGTATGTAACAAATACGCATGTAGTGTACATAATGGGACGGACACATCCCATAATTGAGATGTGTCCGTTTGTAGAGTAAAAGCATTTACTGTAATATTAGTTTAATTTCCATTTTGCTATGTAATTTCATTTAATAAACTCCAGATTTTGTTACTATATGTACAGCACTTTTATTAAAACTAGACTTACCAATGACGTTTTTGGCTACGATTATTTACTCTTTAAAACGTATTAGTTTACGTCTTAAAGAGTAAACTCTACCACTTATATTAATAAAATACAGATATTTAGTGTTAATGTAATGTAGATAAATTTAAATATCTCTGTTGTAATCATTAAAATATTAATTTACAAATTACATAGGCTATATGTAATTATTTAAATTGAAAATAAATTTGTTTTTAATCTAGATAAAAACACTAACCGAATATTTTCATTTTATTAATTAGCTAACGTTCAATGTTTTGGAGCAACTACTTGCTTTCCATTGGTATTTGGTTTTCCAACTGTATTGATGTCACTTTCCTTGAGTAAGATTCAATATTTTCATTATTATTTATTTCCTAAAATAATTTTAGCAGTTAGAATATAGCCGAAGTATTAAAATTCAAATTGACATTTGTATAATATACAAATGTCAATTTGTATAATATACAAATTGACATTTGATGATTTTTATACAAATTGACATTCAATGAGTATATATATTATATATACTCATATATTCAATGAGTATATATATTATATATACTCATTGACAAAAAAAGTTACTCATCAAAAAGTAGACTTTGGAAGAAAACTAATAAATTTTATTAGTGCGAATGAAATGACAATGGTAATGACCATCATCATAATATCAGGCTGCAATTTTTAATTATATTTAAATTTATTCAATTTAAAATATGTACTCTGGATTTCAAATTAGTAGGGTTTAGCTCTCCTGTACATGATACTTTCCCTGATGACAACAGAGTCATGTCGATCATCTATGTAACTCCGATCTGGGGAAAATATTTGAAATAAAATCACGTAACTTCCTGTTTAGACCAAAAGTTAGTATATATTTAAATTGGTGTCTCCTAAGCTTAAACTTTCCATATCTGGGCTTGTCTTTCATCTATCTATCACATAACTCGACAGTCTCGATGGATAGACAGCCGAACAAGTGGCAATTGTAGAGACTACGTTTCTGTCTTGCCACAGTTTAGACAGCGTTTTAATTCGAGTAGGAGACGTCACGTTGTTTGTACGTGGCAAAGTTCAGATAAAAATGGATATTGTTCCTTTAATAAATGTCGTAAGCAGGACGCATCAACAAAATTATTCATTAATTAATTGCTCGGATCAGAAATAATATAATTAAATACTTTAAATTTGTTTTAAATGTTCCAATTCCGATATTCAAACGGGTGAAGATTTAAAACTTTATTCGTAATTCAAGTATCATGTCGATTATAAAACGTGAATGCATTTCGGAGTTGTGAGAATACGGGCGAGGGTTAGCCCTCTAGTCGTCGAGTTGGTAAAACCCGCTCACTTCGTCAGTGGATGGCTATTCGATACATTGTCGTTGGGATTGCAAGATCCTTCTGACGTCAGGACCTGACACCAGTTAGGATAGGATTAAACGCGTCCTAACTCGCGATGATTCCGATCTATTCGATTCACAGAGCTCAAAAATTAAAGGAGGGCTGCTAGTCAAGTGGGAAGTGCGATGAGTACGTCGATAAGGTGTCCAATATTCCGAGGAAGACAGGTAGACAGGTTAACAAATAACAAAATTTATATATGTATTAATTCTAGAGTACAAAATAACCACAAAACACACGACTAAATACTAAGCGTAAATACTAGGCTCTAGGGAAATCGCTCCCGTTCTAGCTACGTGGAAAGAGAGAGAGTTTACAAATGTTCTAACAAAACACAAAATACTTCTGAGAGAGATGTAGCTCTCTATTTCTATGGAGGAATATATGGCGATCGTCTAAGCATTTGGCGGGTGAGTCTTGGTCTATGTCGTATTGCGGATCGAGTCGAAACTCTCTATGGCTCTGAAATTGGCGAGACCTGAGACTGCTTCCATGGGGATGTCCGCTCTGGCTGAAACCGTGGGGGAGTCCGCTCTGGAATATGGCGAGGCTGGAGCTTTTGGTGGAGTCTGCCCAATATAGCGCTAAGGATGTCCGATCTGAGTTCGAGCTCCTTTTATCCTCCTGTGGCCTGGGAAAATGATCAGGTAAGCGGATGTTTGAAGACAAAGTTGCAGGTGTGAGGTCATAGGGGATTTGGTGATGACGCTAATCTGTCATTTAAATGGAGCTGATAGTATAATATTTTGTTCGAGACCTGTTAGATTCATTCTGTTTACTCGTTCGAAGATTGACTTTTCCCTCTTTTATCAATAGATTGTTATAATTCTTTAACAGTTGTTGATGAAAAGATTCAATCAATTTTTGTGCGATGTTTTCTCAACGATCGCGATGGAGAAATAGGCTAAAAATTTCCTTAAATTAGAGCAAAAGCAGGTCCTCCATCTCACAGAGTCATTATTGTTATAAGTTCCATTTAAGAACGTTCTGTTAAATACTAACAGAAACGGGTAGGAAGAAACATTGTGTTTAATGGCTTTCAGATGTTGTGAACAATGTTCTGTAAGGACACAGAGTGTGAGGTTCATAGAAAACTTTTCCTGAGAATATTTCCAAGCTTTTCTCACACAACGGAAAATGGGTTTGGGGCCGTCGGGTATAACTTTATGGAACCAAGAAGTCGGTGGCTCCAAAAAGTTTGGAAATCACTGGTTTAGATGGCGCTCAGAAATAGACGAACGTCGCCTTTCCAACGCATTTTAACCCGCGGTTCAGCCAGCGAGCATTTAAGTTAAAACTCCGTCTCTGCAATCAGCCATATAAGTCTACAACTTTTACAAATTGCAGCTCAATAACTGATTTAAAAAATGTCAGAAAACGACGATTTCTTAAGAAACAATTTGAAGAAACCTTTAGTAGCTTGTAAGGCTCTTGGATACATGTTGCGTGGGATCGAAGTTAACGAAATGTTTAATCGTTATTGGAATGCAATTTGAAAAACTGTACACCTATAAATTCCCACTGTTGTCTGTCTATTTATCTGTCCGTCCGTCCTTCCCTAATCTCGAGAATGTTACCAGAAAAATGAAAATCGAGACCAAATATGGAAAGCATATTGAGAGAATGTCCAGAATAACTGTATCAGAACTTCCGCTCTACACCGAAAATCATGTGAGTTCTGTTCAAATTTTTCCAAAAACAGAATTTTATACTCTGTTGTTATCAGGAAACGTGTGATATACAGGGACAGAACACTATTAATTTGAGATGGAAAGCATATATTTTAAATCAATTAAAGTAAGAATAAGATAAAAAATTGGATCCCAGCAGTGTGACCATGTTACAACAAAATAATTGTTAGTTGGTATTTACAATAGTTTAAAAACTTATAAATAATAAAAAACAATATAATTTTCATAAGTAACGCGAAAATAAAACACTACACTCAAAATTATGCCTTTTGCCCATTTATTATAATTAATAATATAAAAGTTATTTTTTAAATAAAATCCCCTAACAGATGGAGACAGGCACAATTTTAAACTTTGCTAAAATGTTTCTTAAACATAAATATTTCTTTACTGGATTTTTTTCTTTAGAATCTTGTTTAATTCTTTTATTAACACAATAATCAGAATTTTGATAAACGAATTCATTAATTTACAGTACAGAGAGTTTACAAATCGTAGAAAATTTGTAGGCTTATAAATATTTCAAAAAACAGATGCAACTTTTATATGTAATAAAAGTATTTTTTTTCAGTAATATTTGTAATTGGCTATCCAAGTTATAAAATTAATCCTCCCTCCAGAAATATGTTATTTGAAACTTTAAAATGTATAACCGTAAGTAATTTTTTTTTACTCTTTTGTAATTTCTGCTGTGTTAACTAGTATTTACTTTTATCGTATTTCAAACAATTCTTAAAATATTTTTTATTTTGTTGTTATCTTTAATACTGGTCACATGCTTAATTCTTAATTTAATAAATAGTTCAATAATTATTATTTTTCGATTTCGATGACACCCACAAAGAATAAAATTTAACGCATTTTCCTAATTACTGGCCCAATGGACATAAAATATTCGAGAATTTTTATTGTGTTGTGTTTACATTAAAGCATTGCATTGTATATGTATATTGTTCATTGTTTATGATAAAACTGCACATGAAGAAAGATATATATTTTCTCATTTTTAACTCTTTCAACCTTGAAGGCACTAAGAAAACTTTTTTTGGCAATAGCCATAACAAATTCCACCAGGCTCACAATGTAATGAGGAACGAAATGATAATGAAACACTACTGAGGATTCGATCTCGGATCTAAAGCAGTAGACTGACACCCAAACTTCTAAACATTGAGTCGTTATTCTTTATTTTTCTTTTGTAAAAATTATACAAAATTTGTTGCCTTCTGTAGGCGTTCTCTGTAATACATCCTTAATCGCTTAAATTTATTACAGAGCACCACAAATTAGGAAAAATTTAGTTTGCCAGTATCTGAAAATACCTTAAATATTTTAAAATGATCTGTTTGTTGTATTACAAGGCGAATTTTTAGTGTAAAAAATTAAACATTGTCAATTTTTCGCTTTAATTCTCTGTAAATTTCATGTTAACTTTTATAGCATGCTGTTGTTATGAAATTCAAATTAAGAAATAAAATACGAAAGAAGCATTGGTTAGATTATGCAGATGACAAATACGAAGTAAGTTAATGTCTTGTTTTCGAAACATTACTGACAATTGAAAATTTTTAAAATATTTATTGTTTATTTCAGAAATGCGTTATTTCTGATGTGAAAGATCTGATTAGCGATTTGTTTCTACTGTTACCTCTTCCGGTGTTTTGGTCACTGTTTTTTCAAATGGTAATAATAATATTGTTTTCCAAATAATATAGAAAGCCAAGCATGAAACAAATATATTACACTATACAAGATAAATAAGTTTTAGAGCTGAACGAAGTAGCCATACTTTGTCAATAATTCAGATTTAATAATTGACAAGATTTAATTTGATTATCTTTGTTTATTCCAAGCTTTTATTTAATACAGTTAAACCTGTTTGTATAGAAAAGAATTGGAGATAGACAGGTTTCGAGATATAGAGGTTCCTACACATAAACTAAAATAGGTTTCACTAGAGCAATAGCAAGTACAGTACATAACTGTATTAGGTATAAATAAAACATAAGGTTTTGGGAAAAATTATTTAAGATAAACATAGAAAATACATTGAATTTATACTGAAAATGTAGAGGTAAATATACATTTCGAAATAAACATGTTTGAGGTAGAATTGAGGTAGACAGGTTCAACTGTATATTTGAAACAAATGCATCATATTATGTAAAAAATTCAACATAATAGTTTTTCTATATTTAAATTTTCGTTCAGAAGTGGTTACAGTTCTTAAATTATTTTAGAATTTATTCTAATTATTACTAATATTACGTTAAAATATATATTAGCAAGCCAATATTCAAAACAAAGTATAATATTTCTATATCAAACTATTAAATCGAGTTTAAAATATCTCTGTAGTACCAATTTCAATTTTTGATAACTCGTCCTTTCTAAGTGTTCAATATTTAGTCCGATTATCTCTCGAAATTGTTTTATTTTATTAAAGCATACAACACCACTTATTCAATTTAATATTGTAATAAGTCTCTGAATTCTTTTTGAAAATATTATGAAGATAGGTAGGTAGATAGAGAGTGGTCATGCGTCATGTCCTGCGAAGGGTCGGACTTAATGAGAATTTTACATGTTGTTAAGATTTACAGTCTTATCTAACTATATAAAACTGAAAAACCGGATTTTTTATTTCTTTTTTTCTATCACTGTATGCCAAAATGGCCACTGGAGGCACCTCCTAGCTATTATTTAAATTAACAATAAATTCAGTATATTATTATTTGATGCGGTTTTATGAATTTTTGGCTGTTTTAGTAGTGTACACCATGAGAAATTCAGTATATTATTGTTTTTATTTGTAATAGGAATTTATTATTTATACCACGGAATGACACCGCTGCTGCTAGAACGCCTATTAGGGACGTCCCTGGCTACTAGAATAGAAGGATTAAAAGTACAAAATAATTTAATAATCTTAATCTTAGTTGTTGTTTTTTGCATGGGCAACGCCGGGCTCATCTTCTGGTTTTTAATAAAACTCATCTCTAACCTCAAATTTACCATTTTATAATAATTAAAAATACAAAAAATTTTATAACAAAATTCATAAAATATGGAGCTACACACAATTTTATTCATTTATTATGATTAATAATATAAAAGTTATTTTTTACATAAAATGTCATAAGTCAGAAAATTTACGTAACTAGTTGCTAGATTTTTCACTTTACATCAAAATACAGTAATTCAACTTATATATATATTATGCTTGCAAATAACATTACGTGGATATAAAATTATTAAATTTTTCGCATGTCTTTGTTGTTTTCCAGCACATCATTAAAAGTAAAGATCTTATTTAATTTAAAACATGCTTTTCTAAATATATTTTTATATATAACTACGTGAATAAATGACACATTTGCTTTACATTTATTTTCAAAACACTCTGAAAACTTCTTTTGTGTTTTATTTAATTTCTTTTTCTACCAAGGGTTCGAGTTGGACGTTGCAAGCAAACAAAATGAATCAAAACGTAGTAAGTATTTTTGCATAATAAAATTTTTAAACTTTAAACAATAATAATCAATACTACCGCTAAATATTAAACTATATAAAATAATTTAATGTCGATAAAACGACTTTAACAAAATTATCTAAAATAATTATTAAAATACTGACTTGTAAGTATATAATAATAAATGGATTTTAAGATGAAATTTTATATTTACTTCGAATTTTTGCCAAAAATTAATAAAATAAAGTTTTTTTTTTATTTATGTTTATGATAATTTCTTGTAATTAAATACATTTTCACAATATATTTTAAAAAGATATACAGTAATGTTTGTATAAATGCATGTCAATACAAGAATAAGTGTTCAAGAATAAGACTTACGAAATATTAAATATGTACACAATGCAAATTGTCTAATATGAACCAAACTGTGTCATTGGACTGCAATTTTCAAATTTCAGACATAAATTTCCATTGGCGTCAGTTTGTTTCTCTACCTGATTGTTTTTCCTTAATCTCGAGAGCGAATTTAGATAGATGAAAGTGGAGAGCGGATATGGAAATCTTAGGGGAAGTTGGACTTGATTAATTGAGTACGAACTTCCGGTTTGATCCAGAAGTCACGTTGTTTCAATTCAAAATTTTTTTCCAGAACAGAATTAGATGACTTGTATGATTCTACTATTAACAGGAAAAGTATCATGTACAGGGACAAAACAATACTAAAATCGAGAGGATTGTGACAAAAAATTGCAGCTTAGCATTGTGAAGATGTCACAATAAATAATTGCTCATCAACTTATTCTGTGCAGTTATGCAAATACAGTATATGCAAGTACTAAATAAATTAAAATATACAAGTTAGTCACTAAAATATCTAACATCTAATTTAACATTAAAATTCATTTGTATGTAGAAAAGGACTGGCAGAATTACAATTTTATAAAAAGTAAAATACATCTGGATACGAGTCCAATTTTGCTTGCCATGTCTAATCAAGCAAATTGTCTCTGCAATGGAAATAGTTGTTCCTGGTGATTAGACATGGCAAGCAAAATTGGACTCGTATCCAGATGTATTTTACTTTTTATTAAATTAAAATTCATGTTTATGCAATTTAATTCTTTTAAATTAATTTTATATATCAATATTTAAATTAATATTAACTTAATCGTTTTTTTCTTTCTTTCAGTTAGGTTTTGATATAAAACCCGATCAAATGCAAGCATTGGATCCAATTATGTTTATTATTTTTACACCTATATTCGATTACTTATTATACCCAGCATTAAGCAAAGTTAATCTTCTCACTAAGTAAGTTATAAATTTTTGAGTCCATTACTGTAGTTCAGGGGTAGGCAGTTTGTCAAGTGAGAAGAGCCAAATTGTCATTGAAATAGTATAACAAAAGTACCAGAGAGCTGCATATATAACGCGCACTAGACAGACGCCCCCTAGTGCGCGTTACATGCATTCCATGACAATAATAAATTCCTATTACAAATATACTGAATTATTTATATTGTTATTGGCTATTGGCCAAATGAATAATAATAATTTATACTGTTAATTTAAATGTGAGAAATACGACACACGACAGGGGTGCCTCTAGTGGCCGTTTTTGGCATAACGTTACACGGACAGACACGCGTTCAATGGGTTATGTATATATAGATATGCTTCAAATGCTGCCACTCGCACGCGACTCATATTAATCAACGCGAGTGTCGTCGTGCGGACAGGCTAAAGAGTGGTAGAGAGTATGCCGTACGAGTCGAAGTTTGTTCGGTGGCTCTATCTCATAAATTCATAAGTTATGTGACTGCGGTGAAATGAAGTGAGGTGAAATTGGAATTTATGTTCGAAGAGCCGCAAACATCTATGCAAAGAGCAGCTAATTCCGACCCCTGCTGTAGTTAAAAGTTCATTTCTCATTAAAGGATAAATACAAAATTTTATTTATTATAGAAATATCTGCTGATAGGGCAGCAATTTGAAAAAATTGTAGACCTATAAATTTCTGCTGTCTGTCTTTCCTTAATCTCAGGAATGGAGCTAGAAAAATGAAAGTCGAGACCAGTTTTGGTAATTGCATGGATAGAATGATCCGATTAACTCTATACGAACTTCCGATTTGCAATGGAAGTCACGTTAATTTAGTTAAACATTTTCCCCTAAAATAAGTTAGATACATGGCCGGCAGGACTCTATTGATAGCAGAAAAAGTACGATGTACAGGAACTAATTTGAGGTGGAGAGCATATATCATATATTTTAAATTAAATTAATTAAAATATGACTAAAAATTACTTGTTAATAATTTATTTTATACTAGTAGTCTGGTCCGCCCCCTAGTGGGCGTTCTAGTCATTCCGTGGTATGAATAATAAATTCATATTAATGGGGAATGTTTTCCCCTCCCCACGGAGGAGGAAAATTTATTGCCCGTGAGAGAGGGTATTTATTTCCTCCTGTTGGGAAGGGGTTAAGAATCATTAGTACAGTGGCGCGCAGCCAGATGGCCGAGCGGTCAAGGTGGCAGCCTACCGCTCTGGGGGACCTGGGCTCGAATCCGAACGGGTCGAAAAATCCCCAGGAATTTTTCGGGAGGTGGTCTGTTTGGATATATCGGGCCCCATCCCTCACCACCCAACAGTCCCATTATGGGCCTGGCCGAACCCATAATGGGCTTGCAAAAAGAGGCCCTCTTAGTGCGCACAGGGCGGAAAAAGTTTTAAAAAAAATGTACAGTGGCGCATCTGAAACGGGGGGTCGAGGTTCCCTGTCATTCATGAAAGGAAAAAGAAACAAAAACACTAAAAAATGTTCCAAAAATCATTTGGGGAGCAAACCCAGAAATTTTTCGGTGGGTAGTGTGTCTCGTATACGTTGAGCCCGGTTTTTATCACCCGAACGCCTAATTGTGGGCCAAGATGAACTACGGTAGGCATAGTAAAAGGCCTCTTACTGCCCACAGGGTGGGCTAAGAGAGGCGATTTTTCCATGCCTACCAGGTGTTTAGTACATACCTAAGAAAATAAAAATAGTCCAAATACACATTTCAAATCATATATTGATCAAAACTGACGTGTTTTTCTGTTTTCTATTTTTATAGGCCTCTTCATAGAATGGTCATAGGAGGTCTCTTCGCATCAATGGCATTTATAATCGCCGGATTTCTGCAGTTGTCCATTGAAGTAAAGCGTCATTCAATTCATAATATAAATTATAATTGATGCTTTATTTTATATTTCTGTGTTACATTAAATGTTATTATATAACAGCTATAACAAAATTCAATTTACTAAAATAATTTAATTTTTTTTTTCTAGAGCAACCTCTCCTCTCACATTCATCTGAAAATTATTAATGAAAGTCCATGTGAAATCAGTTTAAAAGTACAAAGTTTATCTTCAAATATTACTTTCCAGGTAACTCAATTTAAATTCTCTAGTTATTTAACTGATACTACTTTTAATTAATTTAATTAATTAAGAATACTGATTTTAAAAATTAAGAATACCATTTATTGTTTTATTTTATCATCTAATCCTTCATTATTGACACTGATAAAGGTGAAATATTATTTCTTTCTATAGGTGGATAATAACAGCATTACTGAAACTGATGTTCAAAACTTACATTTAAGTAGTTTACATCTTACATCTTGTAAAATATCAAAACCGTTTATTTATTTTATAAATATGGAAACCAACGAAACGCTAGATCTTCCAGAATATGTAAGTACATCTTTTTTTACAGTAAAATTTAATTGGATTTTATAAAGTACCCAAATACAGTGGAACCTCGCTTAACGAGACTATTTCGTTCCAGAATCTTACTCGTAATGCGAAATACTCGTTAAGCGAAACAATTTTTCTATATAAATTAATATGAAATACAATAATGCGTTTCCTGCCGAAAAAAATACTTAAATATTTTATGTATAACGTTTATTCAAAGAAAATTATACAATATACAGTGGTGCCTCGTATAACGTACGCCTCGAATAACGGACGCTGCGAATAACGGACTTTCTGTTTGGCCGTTACGTGACTCGAGCAACGGACTGGCTTGCGAACAACAGACTTTCTGAGAACAAGTGCGAATGATGTTTCCACTCTTTTGCCGTTGCCAATGACAATCTGCTATTTTTATAATATATTAGTACAGTATTATTAGAATATATTATTAGTATATCTGAAATACAGAGCTCCCGTTGGGATTCGGCTTGCTCCCTTGTTTATTACGTACATCACCTCAGTGCAGGGTATTTACATCTATTCAAGTGTTATGCAAATCATGGCTTCTAAAATAACAGAAAGGTGATTTCGATTGAAATAAAACAAGAAATCATCAGAAGGAGTGAAAGTTGACACGGACTTCCTTGTCAAATGGGGAGAGGTTCAGGAGTTTACCAACACTCACTATGCAAACAGAGCTGAGGCCAGCAGGATCAATGATCTCTACAATGACACC